GCTGAGAATGATGGTTTCCAGCTGCATCCATGTCCCTAAAAAGGACATGAACTCATCCTTTTTTATGCCTGCATAGTATTTCATGGGGTATATGTGCCACATTTTCTTAATCCAGTCTGTCGTTGATGGACATTTGGGTTGGTTCCAGGTCTTTACTATTGTGAATAGTGCCGCAATAAACATACGTGTGCATGTGTCTTTATAGCAGCATGACTTATAATCCTTTGGGTATATACCCAGTAATGGGTTGGCTGGGTCAAATGGTATTTCTAGTACTAGATCCTTAAGGAATCATTGCACTGTCTTCCACAATGGTTGAACTAGTTTACAGTCCCACCAACAGTGTAAAAGTGTTCCTATTTCTCCACATCCTCTCCAGCACCTGTTGTTTCCTGACTTTTTAATGATCGCCATTCTAACTGGTGTGAGATGGTATCTCATTGTGGTTTTTTGATTTGCATTTCTCTGATGGTGAGTGATGATGAGCATTTTTTCATGTGTCTGTTGGCTGCATAAATGTCTTCTTTTGAGAAGTGTCTGTTCATATTCTTTGCCCACTTTTTGATGGGGTGGTTTGTTTTTTTCTTGCAAATTTGTTTGAGTTCTTTGTAGGTTCTGGATATTAGCCCTTTGTCAGATGAGTAGATTGCAAAAAATTTCTCCCATTCTATAGGTTGCCTGTTCACTCTGATGGTAGTTTCTTTTGCTGTGCAGATGCTCTTTAGTTTAATTAGATCCCATTTGTCAATTTTGGCTTTTGTTGCCATTGCTTTTGGTGTTTCAGACATGAAGTCCTTGCCCATGCCTTTGTCCTGAATGGTATTGGCTAGGTTTTCTTCTAGGGTTTTTAAGGTTTTAGGTCTAACATTTAAGTCTCTAATCCATCTTGAATTAATTTTTGTGTAAGGTGTAAGGAAAGGATCCAGTTTCAGCTTTCTACGTATGGTTAGCCAGTTTTCCCAGCACCATTTATTAAATAGGGAATCCTTTCCTCATTTATTGGTTGTGTCAGGTTTGTCAAAGATCAGATGGTTGTAGATGTGTGCTATTATTTCTGAGGGCTCTGTTCTGTTCCATTGGTCTGTATCTCTGTTTTGGTACCAGTACCATGCTGTTTTGGTTACTGTAGCCTTGTACTATAGTTTGAAGTCAGGTAGCATGATGCCTCCAACTTTGTTCTTTTGGCTTAGGATTGTCTTGGCAATATGGGCTCTTTTTGGTTCCATATGAACTTTAAAGTAGTTTTTTACAATTCTGTGAGGAAAGTCATTGGTAGCTTAATGGGAATGGCATTGAATCTATAAATTACCTTGGGCAGTATGGCCATTTTCACAGTATTGATTCTTCCTATCCATGAGCATGGAATGTTCTTCCATTTGTTTGTGTCCTCTTTTATTTCATTGAGCAGTGGTTTGTAGTTCTCCTTGAAGAGGTCCTTCACATCCCTTGTAAGTTGGATTCCTAGGTATTTTATTCTTTTTGAAGCAATTGTGAATGGGAGTTCACTCATGATTTGGCTCTCTGTTTGTCTCTTATTGGTGTATAAGAATGCTTGTGATTTTTGCACACTGATTTTGTATCCTGAGACTTTGCTGCAGTTGCTTATCAGCTTAAGGAGATTTTGGGCTGAGACGATGGGGTTTCCTAAATATATAATCTTGTTATCTGCAAACACTGACAATTTGACTTCCTCTTTTCCTAATTGAATACCCTTTATTTCTTTCTTCTCCCTGATTGCTCTGGTCAGAACTTCCAACACTATGTTGAATAGGAGTGGTGAGAGAGGGTATCCCTGTCTTGTGCCAGTTTTCAAAGGGAATACTTCCAGTTTTGCCCATTCAGTATAATATTGGCTGTGGGTTTGTTGTAAATAGCTTTCATTATTTTGAGATACATTCCATCAATACCGAATTTGTTGAGAGTTTTTAGCATGAAGGGCTGTTGAATTTTGTCAAAGGCCCTTTCTGCATCTATTGAGATAATCATGTGGTTTTTGTCCTTGGTTCTGTTTATATGCTGGATTACATTTACTGATTTGTGTATATTGAACCAGCCTTGCATCCCAGGAATGAAGTCCACTTGATCATGGTGGATAAGCTTTTTGATGTGCTGCTGGATTCAGTTTGCCAGTATTTTATTGAGGATTTTGCATTGATGTTCATCAGGGATATTGGTCTAAAATTCTCTTTTTTTGTTATGTCTCTGCCAGGCTTTGGTATCCGGATGATGTTGGCCTCATAAAATGAGTTAGGGAGGATTCCCTCTTTTTCTATTGATTGGAATCATTTCAGAAGGAATGGTACCAGCTTCTCCTTGTACCTCTGGTAGAATTTGGCTGTGAATCCATCTGGTCCTGGACTTTTTTTGGTTGGTAGCTATTAATTATTGCCTCAATTTCAGAGCCCGTTATTGGTCTATTCAGAGATTCAACTTCTTCCTGGTTTAGTCTTGGAAAATTGTATGTGTCCAGGTATTTATTTCTTCTAGGTTTTCTAGTTTATTTGCATAGAAGTGTTTATAGTATTCCCTGATGGTAGTTTGTATTTCTGTGGGGTCGGTGGTGATATCCCCTTTATCATTTTTTATTTTGTCTATTTGATTCTTCTCTCTTTTCTTCTTAGTCTTGCTATAGCTGTCTATCAATTTTGTTGATCTTTTCAAAAAAACAGCTCCTGGATTCATTGATTTCTTTGAAGCGTTTTTTTGTGTCTCTATCTCCTTCAGTTCTGCTCTGATCTTAGTTATTTCTTGCCTTCTGCTAGCTTTTGAATGTGTTTGCCCTTGCTTCTCTAGTTCTTTTAATTATGATGTTAGGGTGTCAATTTTAGATGTTTCCTGCTTTCTTTTGTGGGCCTTTGGTGATATAAATTTCCCTCTACACACTGCTTTAAATGTGCCCTTGTTTTTCTAATTCTTTGAGATGCATCATTAGGTTCATTTGAAGTTTTTCTACTTTTTTGAGGAAGGCATTTATTGTCTTTCATTCTTTTCCTTTTGCCTGAGGAAAATCTGGGGGCCAATCTTGCTGTCAGCTGAGACTTCTCTGGGTATCCAACTTTAAGTCTAGATTATGTGCTTACATAATTATAATGACCAGAAGATCTACATTGTGTTGAGCAGCAACAACCTGTAGGTACTCTCCTAATTGCTTTGTATGAGTTAAATTATGTAATACAGCAACCCTCTTTCCTTGTCTCTGTTTCTCTCTCTCTCTCTCTCTCTTTACACACACACACACACACACACACACACATGCATATATATAGGCTTGTAAATATATGTCTGTATATGTGTGTATATGTATATCACACATATATGTACAATGTATATATATACACACACACACACATTCCATTTTTCTAATAAAGCAACTAAAGCAAGAGAGGCAGGCCAGTGTCACACAAATGGTTAATGACAACAGACCTTTTAATCTGGACCTTTGTCATTAGGCCTTTGTCCTTTGGACCAGACCGCCTTCCTCTAGTTAGTTTCCTAACCAGCTTTTTAGGAGATCCCCACGAGCACCCTTTGAGGTTGGTGCTACCATTACCCATCATACAGATGAAGGAACCGAGAGGCTCAGAGACCTTAGTATCCTGACCATCCATGTGAAATGCAGATCCTCCTTCAGGGAATCTCGAGCTCAAGAAAAGCTGTTCTTCCTAATTTAATTCTACGTTCTTGACTATAAAACCTAAACAGGTATGAGTGCAACTCAAAGGCAGACCTGAGACAAAACAACAGATAAAAAGCACCCCTGGTTCACTTAGTTTATGTCCTTCTCAAAGAGCAAAAGAGGTTTCTTCCTCTTTCCTTTCTAAGTACCTTCCCATTTAGGCTGCAACTTCTCTGTGCATCCCTTGTTTTCTCTGAGAAAGAGGGGATGCACTCAAGCATAACAAAGTGTCCCAGAATGTAATATTAAATTGACCGTAATTGGACACGTACTCCCTATTTACTCTCTATGAGTCACAAGGCCAGAACAATTCCCTTTGTCCTTTAGAAAACCTCCTTGTTGGGTGGAGATGCTCTTCACACTGAACAGCTGTTCAAGCTTGTCATGGTGTAAAACAGCAAATGACACACTGAGCCCTACTTGTTACCCGTACTGGGTCTGCTGCTGCTGCTGTCTTTAGAAAAGGCAGGGACCTTATAAACCACATTAAAGAGTTTTAGAAGCTATCTTTCCTGTAAAGACAAGAAGAGCCCTGTAAACTAGCTCAATACTAAACAAAAGTTCCTAGTCTTCCCTTTTTACCTTTATGTATCCTAATTTTCTGTTTTTTCCCTTAGTTTCAGAGGGTGAGTTGCCAAAGGAGAAAGCAGCAATAGAGAGGGAAGCGGTACCCAAGGTAGCTACTCTATGTGGTTGAGGGGTCAGAACAAGAGTGTACTTTTCAGTCCTGGACTCTGAGACATGTATTCACCTAGGTTTGGGGAGCGGGTTGAGAGACTTGAGGGTTGGGCCACTCTCAAAGCCCATAAATTTAGTGGAAAATAGGAAATCCTCAAACAGAGACTTTACGTTAAAAAAATGAGGAGGAAGTGGAGAAAGAGGAGGAGAACAAAATTACAAGAGACAAAATACACTGTACAAGTATGTGATAATGTGACAAAATAAGGATTTAAACACTGGTCTGTTCATTTATTTATGTATTCTCCATTTGATAAATATTTCTGCCAATTCATGTCCACTGAGAAGCAGATTCCACGATGACATTATACACATGAAAGGTCTATTATGAGAAATGCCTGTGAAGGATGAAGAGAAGAGTAGACAGGGACATGCAAGGAGAGGCTTTAGACTATGAGGCAGGTTTTACTCCAGCAAGTGGAGAGAGGGAAAGAAGACTCACACTCACACTGTTGCAGATCTCTAAGAAATCCAGCCAGGCACATAAGGAGTCCACAGGCAAAAATGCCCAGTGGGAGTTCACATTGGGCAGAAATGTCCTGGCTCTACTACCCCACTACCACTTTTGGTTAGTGTTTGGAAATACCTTGGGTGGGAGGATGGAGATCTATGGTCCTTGAAGCAGGTTTTTGTGAAGGGAGATGTGAGCACTGGAATCTAAGGCTATCAGCGTCCACCCCTTGGGCTGCACAGGTCTTCTTCTGCACATGATCAGGAAGCAGTTACTCAGTGTATCCCATGGGCCTTATTCCCTGAAGGGAAGATAAGAAGAGCGAGTATATGGAACACCCTACAGACTTGGTTGCTGCAGTTGATCTTAGCAGCACATGAGGTTCTTACCATCTCTCTCCTCCGGTATAAATGACAAATTCTCCCACTGTCATGGGTTTTCCCTGAAGATCTTGCTGGGGGACTTGATACTGCAGCCTAACCATCCCTGATGGGTTTGACCTGCTGGTAATCACATTCTTCTCAGTCGGAGGTTGCTATACATGTTCACTCACAGTTCTAATTAGACAAAGGAATATAAGAAGGTACCAAAGTGGATCACGTGAGTTCCATGCATATTCTTCTCATTCTTCTCTTGCCCCCATTGTGTAAGAGCATCTTCATCTCCTTTCAATCAGGGTCAATTATGCCTGCCATGATGGTGACTCCTTATCTGTTGACCTCTTCACAAGGGGTCCAAGGTGCCCAGGTGCCTGCCATAACCTGTAGCTCAAGGGGAAGCTTGCTTTTCCCATGGACAGAGTGCCTCCATTCAGGGACAGGACCCCTAGCTGTGCAGAACTCAGAATGGCAGGAATGAGAGACAAACATTCTCCCAATGGGCCATTGGGAAGATGGTAAATAGAGCCATTGTTTTATTACTCTGATTTTATGGATCAACTTAGTCTTCCCTTAGCTACACAACACCATATAGAGGTCTCTGATTTAATGCATATACTAAGTTCTAAAAAATGGTAATATATCCTCACAGAGTATTACCCCAATCTGGTATTTCAACCATGCCTTAGTAAGTAATTCCGATTTTCTCAAGCTTTCCAGTCCTTCCACGCAATGCAATATGTTTTATGGCTGTTAGATCTTATGTTTATGGGCCCTTTCATGAACCTCCTTGTTATGTAGTGGGTTCCTGTTGGATGCCATGTTGTATGAAATTTCATGCTTGTGGATCAAGCCACCTGTAAGCACACAGATAGTGGTACTGGCTGAGGTTCCCCTGGCAGGAAAGTAAATCTGTCTGTGAAATATATATCTAAGGCTGTGATTAGTCACTGGGTTTTCCAGGAAGGAAGGGATCCAATGTAATCGGCTTGGAACATAGTGGCTCTTCTCCTTGGGACCAGTGTGTCATAATTGAAACTCAATTTTGATCTCTCTTGCAAGCAGATTGGGTAATTAGAGATGCAGTTGAAGCTCAATTTTGATCTGTCTTGCAAGCAGATTGGGTATTTAGAGATACAATAATGAGAACGAACTTTATGAGTTAAAGTCCATGTTATTGGGCCCATCTATACTTTCCACCTTTGCCACCATGAAGACTAATCAGTGTGTCTACCATGCTAGTTCTGGAGTAGATAATGACAAAGGTTTGCCATGTGAACTGGCAGGATCATTTTGTCTCCTGGATTGTTGATTTATTCTTCAATCATAGATTACTTATAGTGACATAAATGTGTGAAACAGCTTCATGGCTTATGCCAACTCCGTTATGCCCATCCATGTACCTCTTTCCCAGATTTTTTGTCTCAGACTTTCCAGTCTTTTCCTTACGGGACTCTGACCAGCCACTCAGGTCATTGACCACTGTTCAGGAATCTATAACTATTCGCATCTCAGGATTCTATGTGTGTGTGTGTGTGTCTGTGTGTGTGTGTGTATACACCCCTGACATCTCTAACATCATAGTGACTGTAGTGACTGATGGATCATATGGTCCAAGTGGCAAGGCTGTCTACAGTAGCGCTTGCATCTGCTGCAGAGCTTTTTCCTGACCAAAGCAAGTCAACTTCTGTGTCTTAAAATACATGGTTCTCAGCAGTGTTTTTGTGTGTGGAATGTGCTGCCTCCAGAACCTGGAGCGTCCCACCAGATATTATGTTTACTTCATTGTTGCAGGGGATGCAAGGTGCAGCAATTTGTCTTTTAATGTGGAGTTCCTGTAAACCCTGAATACTGGACACCTGAAAACATATTGAAATGGCAGGTCCCGGACTTTCTTATTTTTTTACATATGTGTCTTATTAAAGACTTCTGTAAACTAATCACCTGTTGCTTGCCCTGACCAATCAGCATGATGTCATCAACATAATGAAACAACATGTTATTTTTCAGGGTGTCTAGATAGTCCATATTTCTTTAGAATACATCATGAGTAAGGATGGGAGCATTAGCATAATATTGGAGCAAAGATGTAAAGAAATGCATCCCATTTGTATATGAATTGTGTCTGATTCTCCTGGGATTAAAATATAAATTGTTGGCCAAATAAGTAGACACATATCATGGACCTGAGGCTTTAATAATTTGTTCTAATAACAATAGCCCATCTGAGATAGCGACTGAACAGGGCTACTGCTTGACAGAAGTTGAGATAGTGTAAAGTCACAGGCCAAGCTTCATCTGCTTTTTGGAGGGGCTAAACTGGTGAAATAAACAAAAATATGATTGTGGCCATGATCCCCACACTCATTGATCTTTAATTGTGGAGTGAATCTCTGCTAGCCCTCTCCTCATGATGTAATATTGTTTTGGTTTTGCGACTTTGTGTGGGGGCAGTTAAAGTGACTCATATTTGGCCGTTCCCACTATGCCAGTTCTGACCTCACAGGACGGATATCCCATGTGCAATTCTAACTGTGGAACATGTCGACCCAAATTAGACACCTAGGGACTGAGGAAGTAACTGAAAATTGGTCCACAGGCCACCATTATTTTTGGTTTTTCAAATATAAAGCCCAGAAATTGCTGAGATATTTTTTGCAATTCTTCACCTTCTTCCTGAAGACTGAAAGTGATTCTTTCCTGATCTGAGTGGTTTGAGTCCAAGAACTGGTGTTTCTCATTCAGCATTTGGGATCAGGTGCTAGAAAAATTTTCATAGGCGCTTATAGCCAAGAAATATTGGAGGATATATTCTTATTATTTATCCAGGGAAAAATAGTGAGCACAAAGTGAAATTCAATTACCCTCCATGCCTGGTGAAATCCGGTTCAGCCTCTGCCTACAGTTATTCGTATCACAAGTGCTTGTCTTTATTTGGAATATAAAGCAGGACACAGTTCCCACCTTCTCAATTATTTCTCATTGAAGGTGGAAGAATCTTTGGAATTCCTTTCTTCTGAACAATTTGTTCTTAGAGGAAAGAGGAAATACCACACAACTCTGCCCAGGCTGCAGACCCCATTTAGGGATTCTCCTGAGGACAAAAGTGCGTCAACTTGAGTTCACTCCACCACTGTGAGTCGATTATTCTCAACCTGCTCACGAGTGTTTAAATGCCCTCTACCCACCAGCATTATTTCCGTCTAGGCCTATGAACATAGACGCTGCATATTAAGCACCAAACACATTACAGGACATTTGGATTTTAAATTTTCATTGAGCCAGGCCCCCCTCTTCATTTGTGAATTTAAGAGTCAAACATTCATTGAGTTCCTACCTTGTGCAGCTCAGCAATCTCTCCAATGTAAAGCCCTGAGCTTCCCTTCATTAAATAGCTGAACCCCTAATGATATGTTAGGCACTGCCCTAGGTGCTGAATATCCAGTGGAGAACTAAACCAAACCTGGACCATCCAGTCGTGGTGGTTACAGTCTACCAGAGAAGAAAGACATTAACCAAACAAGCACATACCTATTAAATTACATACTGAAATATGCACCACAGATAAAAAGCACAAGGAACTACAAGAGGACAGGCAGGGGTCCTGACCTCTCTAGGACTGCAGTGAGGATGAATGTATGAGTAACTTTTGAACAATAAACTCTATATAAGTATCAGCCAATTGCATTCTCACATAACTATTGATAGGCAGATCCTGAACTTGACACACATTCTCTGACTTAATCCCCAGACTCTCATCCACCACCTTAAACTCTGTCTCTCTCCTAACCTTTGAATGTGCCAGCTCTGTCTCCTGAGGTGGCTATTCTATCAGGGCTAAAGCAGTGGCACTGGAACTTTTGGGGACAATCTTCTTTAATACAAGGGTGCAAACAGGAAAGAACTGATGGTCCTCTGCTGAAAGAGAGACAGAAATACAAGCCTTTCCACTTAATTTTCAAATTTCCAGCAGTATCGTTGCAGTAATTTGGATTCATTCTGCAGCAGAGACATCTGACTTTTTCCCTTTCCAATGACTCTTTACATTTCTATGGTCATACTGTCTTTTATGACATAAAAAAACATTTAAATTGTGGCATTTGTTCAATGTTGAGTTCTGGTTTTGTTTTGTTCCTTTCAAATTTATCTTTCTTGTAAGTCAAAGAATACAGAATTATTGAATTCATTTCTATTACCATGTTTGCTGTTTGAATGAAGTTATTTAATTGGTACCAAAAGAAATGTGGGTCTGTTGCTATCTACTCATGAAAGAGATTCACAAATGAACTTCCCCAATCTGTATCAGGCAGAAGCTACACCAGAAATGCAGCTCTGCTCTTTAAGAAGAATAATCTCACCAGACTCTCATTATTAGTGCTCAGCTCTGGGTCCTACCAATTAAACATTTCTAAACTTGTGGGATAAGAAGGATTGGCCCCAGTGTCCCCTGCCCTTTGAAAATACAGTGGTTCTGAGTGGGGCTGGGTGGGGGACTTGTATTAGTCCATTTTCACACTGCTATAAAGGAATACCCCAGACTTCATAATTTATAAAGGAAAGAGGTTTAATTGACTCACAGTTCCACATTGCTGGGGATGCCCTAGGAAACTTGCAATCATGGCAGAAGACAAAGGGGAAGCAGGCACCTTCTTCACAAGGCAGCAGGAAAAAGAGAGGGTGAAGGAGGAACTTCCAAACATTTATAGAACCATCAGGTCTCGTGAGAACTCACTCACTATCATGAGAAACAGATGGGGGAAACCAACCCCATGATCCAATCACCTCCCACCAGGTCCCTCCTTTGACACATGGGGATTACAATTTGAGATGAGACTTCAGTAGGGACACAGAGCCAAACCATATCATTCTGGCCCTAGCCCCTCCCAAATCTCTTGTCCTTTTTACATTTCAAAACCAATAATGCCTTCCCAACAGTCCCTGAAAGTCTTAATTTATTTCACCATTAACTCAAAAGTCAAAGTCCAAAGTCTCACCTGAGACAAGGCATGAGCCTTTTGCCTATATGCCTGTAAAATCGAAAGCAAGTTAGTTACTTCCAAGATACAATGGGGGTACAGGCATTGCATAAATGCTCACATTCCAAATAGGAGAAATTGGCCAAAACAAAGGGGCTACAGGCCCCATGAAATCAGAAATCCAGCAGGGCAGTCATTCAATCT